TGAAGGAAAAGGGGGGGGAAGGAAAAGGGGGGGAAGGAAAAGGAAAGGAGCATTTAAACATTAATTCATCAGAACCCCAAACAGCGTAACTTCAGACATTTCAGAATATGAATATTGGTAGGTGAAGCTTAGTTAAATAACAAAAAGTAAGTACCTCTATGCATTTTTAAAAATCCCAATATGTATTTATCTGCATCCTTAGAGATGCACATATTTTTTGAGAATCAAGTCATACATAGCTTTAGTTCTTTTTCAATTCATCTGGATGCCCTACATCTTTCAGAGAATATGCAAGAAAACAAAAAATATAAAAGAGGAAAATCAAGAATGTCAACAAAGTAATAAACATGGCTATACTCCCTTTAAAAATAAAAATACTAAATCTCTGCTTTTTAGTGTCTTCTATTAAGTTGTCTTTGAAAGCAGCAGAATAGGGACATAATATTGAATTTCACTAAATGAGAGGGGGAAGAATAAAAGACATCAAACAACCAAAAGGAATGTTAAAAAAGATTATATGAACATGAAGAGTGTTTTAAATGGAGTAGGGGGCCCTAGGGTCTAATATTTCTCAGGAACTATGACAGCTTCATAAAAGACAGAATTTGTATTTTTTCATGATGAATAGAACTGAGGTAAGAAATTGATTTCCCTTAAAAGCTTGGGCTAAAACTAAGAAAGCACACAATATTGACGGAACATAAAATGTACTTTTATTAAAGTGTAAACTTTGAATGAACAGTTTCAATTCATATTAAGAAAATATAAATATTTTTCAAATAAGTAAGATTCTTGGTGAGAGTTTTAAACACTAGGTTGGCAAAGCTTCCATTCACTTTCAACATAATAATGTTATTAGCAAGTCTGGATTTTGCTGAATGGCTTTCTAAAACTATTTGAAAGTTAATACACTGATACTGTGAAAAAATCCATTTCCTGTAATGCACTATTGAATATCTTCAGTAGCTGCCATCTTTGCTTTCTAGAATTATGCTGCGTTTGAGTCAGTTAGCTCACTTACAAATATAGCTTGACAGGTAAGGTAGACTCTTTTTGTTCAGAGTTACAAGGTTAAGTAATTTTGTTGTCTAGCTTCATTATCATATAGAAAAGGGACTGCTTTACATTGCTTTTGCAATGCAACTAGCAAAAAGCTGTGGTTAGGTATGACACATCTCCTTGCTGTATACAGAATATAAAAACAATGGTTGAAGTAACATGAAATAGAATCTTTCTATGGGATGTGACAACTTCTGTTTCAACCATCTTACAGTTATCTCTATTTTTCCTACACTGAAAAATAAAACATTTTTGTGGAGCTGTGTAAGGTTCAATAACCAGACTCAAACTCAGACCCGAAACCTACCATTTAAACTAAGCTTCAATTTAGGAACAAAGCCCCCCCAAAATCTGGATTCTCTACTGATCAGTTTTTCTGAAAACTTAGACAAATTGGTTTCCAGCTTCAATTACTATGAAAACTATACATCCTTAATTAGATCCAGTTAAGAAGCGCTTCTCTAACTAAAACCTATCTTCATATCAAAATGTTAAAAAAATTCTCAAGCTAGGAATCATATATGCCATGAAAAGTGGAAAGTCATGACATCAGAGGCTAGCTAAAGAATGAGACAATGGTGATAATACAATAGTTAAAAGTGCTGTTCAATATGCAACAAATTTTCTCCTTGAATGCTAAAACATCTGAACAAAAAGAACACATTCATATGCATTTTAATCCTAACAATAGGGCTGATTTGAGTAACAATCATGCCATAAAGTCACTACTTCCTAGAAATGCTTTTATAAATACAAAATAAGTTTAATTATTCAAATTAAGACTCTTAGACCTGCCCC